TTCCTTCCAACCTGAATTATTCTGCAAGTCTAACAATCCATTAGAGTTGTGAACTCCTGATACATATTTCAATCAAATTCAACTTTTTCAAGTTTAGCAATAAAACTCTGAAACAAATACCAGTTATTTCAGGCACCCAAGCAGATCCACATTACTCATGAGATGGCAAGGCATACACTTAGCAGCCATTTACACATTCTCTAGAATTTCTTCACTCAAGAATGGTGAGAGTGAAATACAGGGTGAGATTTTATTGCCTGCTAGATAAAACAAATCACTTTCTGGGAGTCTCTCTCTCAGTAAACTTTAAGGGAGTCTAACACAGGTATCTTATATTGGACAATGAACTTTTAGACACCTAGCAAGATTAAGCAGGTTCCAACACACATTTAGTAACAACTTAATTGATATGGTATCCTTGAATTTTGTATATCCTATAACTGCATTACCAACAGATGAGTAGTGAATTGAGACTAATTCAGTACTGACACCTTGTAGGCCTCAACTCAGGAACAATTATTAAAAAGTGACCCCTGCTACAGGCCCTGATTCAAAACCTTGTGAAGGTTCATACCTGTACATTTCACATTCTTTTTTATTAAAAAAGTCGTAGATGGCAGAGAGGAAAAATACTAGCTGCGTTTCATATAAAAGAAAGATGAAACTGGCTTGTTCCCCAGGATTGAATGGAGACTCTTGATTTGGAAAGCCTTCCCACATGCAGAGTGGGGAGAGGGTCTCCCATGCTGGCTGAGACTCTAGGGATGAAAAGTGAGTTTATCTAAAGTAGGACACAGCCCTACAGTACAGGCTCAGATGATCCACGAAAGTTTCCTAGAAGCCCAGAGGATTGGGTGGAAGGTGCTTGAATCAGAAAGCCACTGAAGATTGCTGGAGAAGACTACAAGGAAACAATCCTGCAAAGATGCTGTTTACTGGAGATAGATGTGTTTTTAAGCCTTTCTGCCCTGCCCAGGTGATCCAAGTTTCCTGTATTTAAAGAAAAAGACCTTACTTGATGTTAGCAATATTTTGACATCATTCCAACGAAGTGTGGCTTTAGAGAATAAAAGTTTGTAGGTGCGCTCTGCGTGCGTGTAGTGAAGACAGTGGGACAGCGCTGGTGCGAGGTGCCGGCCTCTCTGGCATCTTGCCATGGTGCTGCCAGAAGCAGCAGGTATGTAGGTAATCCTCAACTTAAAAATGACAGCCTGGGGGAAAGAGAAAAATGCAATATCCTCAAAGGTACCTATATAGCACTGAGGGACGCAGAAGGGTGGGTTTGTTATTCTACTTCTGCCTCCTCCCCCTTTTTTTTTGAGACAGAGAGAAAGATAAAGGAAGAAGGGAGGAACATGGGGATCACATAACTGCACAGAGGTCATCAACAAAGCTCTTGGAAGACCTGTGGGACAAAAGTGATTTTCTTCTACCAAAGTGAACGATCAAAAGCAAAAAAATATGATTTTTGGGCAACTCAGAAGCAGCTAGTGGGCCTGGGGGTAGAAGTTAGTGGCCCTATGGAGAAGCTTAGCAGAGACAGAAACTGCTTCGAAGAAGGAAAACAAGACTTTCAAAACACTTACAGAGCATGTGAAAAGAAGCAGGAAGATACTGGAGTACCACAGTGACACAGGGATGCTGTGCAGCAGGGACTGCTGAAAGCAAAGAAGAACAAAACAAGCAGTATCAGTAGAGGGCCTTTTCAAGACCCACAGCACCACCTCCCTCAGCTGTGGCACTGCTGGGAGAAAGAAAAGGCTGATAAACCTTCCTGTGGGGTGCACTCTTGGGAAGCAACGCAGAGTGGGTATTATTATTTCATGCAGATGAAGGTCCTGAAAGGCAAGTGGAAAATGAACGTGGTCTGACCGTGACCAGGAGTGCACCTGGGCATTACGCTCAAGAAGGGAAAAATCAGGTGCTGGATTACTTAGTGCCAGTACTAAGTGGTCCAGGTTTACCATGTCTTTGTCTGAGTGTCGTTTAATTTTGGGAAGGAGAAAGATTAATATGTCCACCGTCTTGGCCTAGAGACACATGGCACAACGCAAAAGCGAGGGAGAAGAACAAAAAAGAGGGTCTTTTTAAAGGACACGGAGCATGTCTGAAATGAAACCCAGGAAGAAGACCTGACTATAAATAAAGGAAATGTTGTTGTGGGGATGGCTCAGATAAATTATAAGAGAAGCCTGGCACCAACCTTTAGCAATATAACAACACACTTGATAGATCTGTGTGAAAAACAACAGACTGGTCAATTCAGCGAAGTCTAGCAAGAAACCTCTGACCATTTAGAAAAAAGGGTCTTTTTGTTTGTTTTGTAGTTTGGTACAGGTGAGTCTGGATTTTAGCAAGCTTTCTGATATATTTGCCAGATGCCTCAACACTAATTTAAAGGCTGCTTGGCCGCAGCAGGAAGAAATACTTCATTCTCTGGCACATTTCAGTAAAAATTTGTCAGCCAGGAATGGAACCACAGCACCACTGAAAAGAAAGCTTTATAGGTGCATTAAAAAAACCCCAACCAATCCAATTGTACTTCTGTAATTTTACTATACATACACAATTAGAAAATTCACCTTTCAAAAACGTTATCTTAAGGGGGAGATTCCAGTTCGCGAGGTAGAGTTTGTCACCGCAAGAATATGATGCACAAACAAAAACTGCAGAGGAAAGATAAACAGGATGTTGATTCTGCTTAGTCAGAAAGATATTTGAGCAATAACATGAAGAAGCCCCCTTTGAGTCTCTTCCGTAACAACAACTAAGGCATCTTAGAATATATGGAAGAGTAATAATTCACAAAAATGGACTGCCTACAATATAAGTTGAAATCCTTGACCACTCCAAGTGTTTAGCATTTCTAAAAATCAGATCTATGATATGCACTATTTGCTAAAAAATACTCAGGAACAAGAGAAATAATGACTGTTATTACTGTTTCTTTGAAGTTCAATGATGAAAGCCAAAGAAATGAACATATACAGATCACGGATGAAATGGTTCAGGAATTATAGTCATAACTTCCCTGTCATATTTGCATGTTTGGAGTTTTTTGAAACTGCAGCAAATTTGTACTGCAGTTATGAAGCACAATTTCCAAGAATCGCCCCAAGAATAACTTAAATCTGAGCAGCACTGTACAACCATTACAAGTTGGCTACATAAATAAATTCATTAGGTAATTATTTTCAGACTTTTCCCACCTTTTTAAAATTCATCTTCGTGTATTCCACATGTTCTTCAAGAATTCAATAACATACTAAAACGCTGAGGTTGTGCAAGCTTATTATCCATAATTTACCCAGTATTTTGAATAGCACATCTATAAGACAGCTCTATTTCATACGTATAGCCTTACTTTCCTAAATGAAATCTGCAGAATTGGAAAAGAAATAAAACTTTCAATTAAAAAATAATCAGAACACAGAAAAGGCAACTATATATAGTCTAATTCATGTTTATACTTTATAGTTTAACCATGTTTATACTCTGTAAAATCAACTGCAAAGAGTTTTTTTTTGTGATGTCAGTAATTAGGGATAAGAGAGTATAGAAGATAGCTCAGTATGAATGTGGTTTGTGTACCCTGTAGAGGAAGTCCCACAAGTAAAGGAATAAGATGTTAAATAATAGAGAGTATGACATGCTGTAGATTGAATGTGGAAGTGGGATCATAAAAGAAAAAAAAAAAACAAGGTCTGTTATTAATCCAGATTAGATGGCCTAATATACTTGTTTCAGCAGAAACTTCTACGTTAAAATTCCTAGAAAAGGAAAAAAAAAAACCTACTAAGAACACATATGCAACACCCTGCTTCCTGAAAGCTGAACATAATACACAGAACAAATCTAATTTCATGCCAGTTTTATCAGCTATAATATAAGCAAAAGCTGAACAAGCAGGCTGGTCTGGCAGGTAAAGCATCAGTCTTGAGTTCAATCCCTGGGCAACCACAGCAGGTATGCACTATCCACCAACCTCTACCTCTATTTGCCTTACAACATTTTGTAAGTGAAGTCTCTTCAGTTCATACAATACGTGAGAGGAGTAACTGCCTTGTTTTAACAACTTGCAGAGCACTGCTGTAACGAAGCTCTAACCCTGCGATAGCACTGGATACAAATAATATAACATTATGATCAAAATTATCTCTTTGTGGAATTTTGTAATTAAAAGCAGAGGAGGAGAAGTATGCTATAATGACAGCAAATCAACAAGTTAGCAAAAATGAATTAAAAAAATGCTCTTAATGCTCAGAAGTAGTAGAAATAATTTTGTCATGACTGTTGAAATTGTTCAAAATCAAGACAGTGATTATTTTTCAAAGACAGAACATGAAAATAAAAGTTCAAAAATCCACAATGTTTGGAAGAATTTCAGCTAAAAAACCTCATCAAAAACCTAAATTAAATAAAAAAAACAAACCCGAAAACCGAAGATGTTTGCTTACCATACCATCAGAATTCAGGGGCAACAATGATTTATGTAAATTATTGTCCTCTTCCTTAACTGCACATGTGTTTGTGAATCAAGCATCTTCCAGTTCTCTTGCTGGAGCTACTAATCTGCCCAGTAAATTCCTGGAACCATCTTAAAATCTTTATCATTTGTCACTTCATGACCCCAAGATTACTTGCAATAGATAATCTGAGGATCAGGAGTGGCTGCTCTGCTTAGATGCTTGACCTGGAAGATGCAAGTGTTACCGCCGGCCTGGAAATGAAGTGCTAAAGCAGAACAAAGCCATTGCTTTTTTCTGGAGATTACAGTATGACAGATCCTGAAACACTGCATGATGTTTAATTAATTTAACGATACCTTGCAATATAGCACTCAGTTGTCACATAAATCTGAATATGACACATTAGAGAAAGAATTAAAGAAATTGTGCTAGAAATGTGAGAATAATTGCTTTCATTGTGCTCATTCTGCTGCAACCCGGAAAAGAAAACTCAAACCCACAAAAGATATGGATTGTTTGGAAAGAACATACCTATTAACTCCTTATTTCTGACATCTAAGGCCATGTTTCGTAAAGCTGTAGCAACTGCACATACCACCCGGTCATTGTCTATTCGAAGCAATTCCACCAGGATTGGCAATCCTTTTTCCTTGCGGACAGCAGCACGGATGTACACTGACCACTGTAAAGACACACAGTAGAGTGTGAGGAAGAAAGTGAGAAATCCAGTACAGGAAGCAAGGCATGTGAAGTTATAACAGATACAGGGTAAGGGGTAACAGAAGCATGCTGATGCAAACTCAAAAGAGGGGAAATAATTGCATTTATGATGCTAGGCAATCACTTGATTTGGAAATCTGCACTAATTTTTTTACTGTGGCAGAGAAATTAAATGATGAATCGGCTTTACTCCTAGCACACTTTGTTACATTTTTACAGCCTGAGCCTGCAGACCACTTGCTTTGCATCAGCATTTCCTATGCAACATCTAATGATGCTTGTTCATTGCTAAAACAACAACATTTCTATTACAAAACATGTTCAAAAGGTCTGAGTATTTCTTTGTTATTACCGTAAGAACTATTCAGTCTAAAAACACGAAAATGCTGTTATAATTTATCTTGTGATTGTCAACTTGTTCAGAAGGAAAAATAAGAACAAGGATATGTCTGGTTTTGGCACCTGTAGTGGTCCTAACTGAAAGACCATTGTACATTAAGGAGTTACAGATCACATAAGAGTTGACTGGAGCATGGTGCAGGCCTATGCTGTGCCGTGCTGCAGGTACCGCACAGCTGCAGGATAAACCCAATGGCTGATTGTATCAGAGAAGCCTGTAGGCATCTCCCACTTGGAAACTGGTTGTAACACCACTGGCACGAGCTTGCCTTTCTCTCAAAGTGAAGCAGCACGTTCTCATATGAACATCCTTTTTGTTTGATAGTAGAAATGATGAATAGAATTGTTTATTTCTAAGAAAATCCTCTAAGAGCTCTGAAGACTATCGTGCCAGTGAACCTCTCCATGGATGGGATCTGTGCAGAGTGCTGTGACTAGGAGGTCCATCCAACACTACACAGCTTGGGGTTCCCAGCACCTGAAGGGATGAAAGATTAACTATACTACCCTCTTTTTCATTCCTCTGTTAGCTCCAGTAGTTGGAAAAAATGCAAACAAAACCAAAACTGTGACCTTGGGGTTTTAAAATCTATGGGTATTTCAAATTTGAGATATTTGGACATCTGCAGGATGTGCAAGTCTCAGCACAGCCTGCTTCAAAACAAGCCTTCTACTAGGCATACATTCCTTCTCACATCCTGAACTATTCTCTGGAATTTTCATCAAGTTCACATTCATGCTCCCTGTACTGATAGTCAAATTTATTGAAGCAGAGCTTCTCCCTTCTTTCAGTGCTATGGCATATAAGCTTATCCTGCCGTTGTACCTGGAAGGTGAAGATAAAGTTCTGCAAGCCCTTAGCCTTCGAAGAAACTAGGATGATAAGCTTTAAGATTTTCAGATCATGATGACCCTTCTCTTTTGACAAACCTACCTTAAAGAACAGTTAGAACACACCTTAAAGAACAGTTACAACACAATAGTGTTCCTCATTAACAGAAAGAATAAAACGAATTCCATGAAATAAAGCACTAGAAAAAGGCAAGCACACTCACTGTTGGCAGACCGTCCTTAACCTCTGCATGTGGCCTCTACTTACCATAGCTGAAGCGCTATGCATCTGTTTATACTACAGACAGGTGCGCTGAATAGCAAAAGCCAGAATATATTTTATGCTAAGAACAGTAGATATGGAGGCAGACAAGGGATGCAATGTTGCAATATTTGGAGTGCAAATTCATTCCAGCTGATGTCATTCAGGGGAAATTGGGAAAAAGGAAAAGAAACCATCATTTCAAGAATATTATTTTATTATTTCTCCTCTATAGTAACTATGTATAACAAAAGCTAGCTGGCTTCACTTTGCTGTAGGTGACAGTGATAATGGTTACGATAAACGATAAACTTTCAAGCCAGGTAAATGGGACATAGGGCTCTCAGCGTCACTGAGCACTGTAATGTAGTATGTCTAACACATAAATGTGCCATCATTTTCTGCAGCATAGCAAATAGCTCTTAGGTAAGAGACGTGGTAGCAGGATTCTTCATTGATCTTACTCCACGCTGTCTCCTCCAGTCTCTTCCCTAGAATCAGTGTACTGGATGATCACCAGATAAAAAACTAAAACATGTCTTAAGTATCAGTGAGTTTAACAGAAAGTATCTGCTGAAAAAAAATCTTTCCTATATTTCCTTGATTTTAATGGGATATTAAATAGAAATGATGCTATAAACCCACAAAATTAATCTTTCTAGGCTTCCTGTTTCAACAAACATGTATTTACTTGCCAGTTAAATGTGCTCTCACCTGCAGCTGGGAGTACCTAAAGCAATACCTCTTTGCACTTAAAAACTCCCATTGCTGTATTTTCTACACCTCTCCCAGGGGAGGCCTCCATAGTGTCTGCTGTGATTACAAGGTGACTGCCAGAGTGAGAGTTCATGGTAGCAGTGAGACTATTTTGAGAAAGGAGTGAGCCTGTCTGGTTGAGGTGAGAGTTCAAGCTAGCAGACAGTATATTGAAAGATGCTGTCGTTCATTGCAAAAGTGCATCACAGATGTAATGCCTCCACTGCGGATTACATGGGGAATCAGCGAGGGTGTTTGTTTTAAAAAAACCCCTTATTTGTGTCTATTCAATACCAGAGAATTTAAAATGATCTTACAGATTATTCACTACATTATAAAAACCTTCATATTAAAATCTCAGTAAACAGTTTTCCTTTGATTTTCTTTTTTAGTCAGCTACCAAGGGAAAACACAAGCATTTGTTACAACCCCAACTTCTTGGGTTGTAATATTTTCATCATCCATTCTAAACAAAAGTCTAAAAGAAACAAATTAAGAAATGGTGGTGGGTTTTTTTTTTTTGAACCCTAGGGAGAATAGAAGACGTTGTAGAATAAACACTGAAATAACTCAGTATGAAAAAAAGGAGAAAATATAAACCTCCTTACTGAATAAATGACAGGCAAGCCTTCAGCATCTGTAATGAACCAATTAATTTGATCACAATAGTAAAAAACACAGCTCCAAAGTTTTCACAAGGGAAAAATCCAGATATAATGTTTTACAGATGCACATATGCACACGCATACATAAAACAATGGGAGAAAGAGAGAAAAGTATGTACAAAACCTCTCCTCTCCCCTGCACATTCCACTCCGCCCCTCATGCCGCCCCCC